TGTGTACTGGCAGGTCCTGAAACGTTCCCAAAAAGTATCCAAAAAGACAAGCAATGACGAACATCTGGGGGCGGACCTCTCGTACGTTTGGATCTCTTTAACATATGGGAGGGAGCGTATTGAGGAACATCCTCTCCCAGCACCATGGCGTGCGCGACTGGGGAAAAATTCTTCCATTAGTAAGTGCATGATGAATAATTCCATGAATTACTATTTACAAAGGCATTTACAGTAGTAATAACATTTATTCGTTTGGCAACATATGACAACATGTTATAATAAAAATGCTACATTGTTAATGCGAAAAAATAGTTGGGAGGGGTTGAAATGTTGTAAAAACAACCACAACGACAAATATCGTTCTACGGGTTTCTAGAGGGACGACTAGAAATCTCTAGGCAAGCGTGCATTCAACCAGTTAACAACTGACAATACTTACTACTGGATGATTGGGATGATGTAAAATGTGACAAACAAAAATGAAAAGAGAAAAACGGAAAAAAATACCGGACAAATAAAATAATTTTCATCTTTATGCAACCAGGAAAGGGTACCACAATGTACAGTATTACCATCGCGAAGAGATCGCTTTCTTATTACTTGTTAATTGTGTGAAGGAAATGAATGAATGTGTACGATTTGCTGCCAAGGCTATGCCCAGCAACCAATGATGGCCTTCGCAGAGCAGAAGCGGACGCGGCGGCGCGGCGGACACGCACGTACGTGTGTCACGTTCGACGGCATTCCAGACTAGATCGTCATGATCGGATGGCAAGATTGACGAGTGGAACGATACCAGTGGAGACGACGTCGCGACGGCGATGTACACGACAACAGCGAGCGACGTCGCCTCGTCGCGACAGCACCCGCACGCGTTCGCCGCGCGACACCACCAGCAGACCAGGTTCGCACAAGTCCGCAATCACAGAAGCGAGCGGCGATGCGGTGATTGCCGCCGTCGCCATTGGCGAAAGCGTCCGATGCATGCTCACACGACTGAAAGCACATACGATACGGTACTGATACAGCTAAATAGACAACTACTCCTTGGATGTGGTTCATCACATCCGAAAAGCGGTATCGCACGCGAATTAGCCAATCCTAGCTAGTTGACTCAATCTGTCATATGGACTAATTCACAAGCGCGGTTCGGTTAAGTGAAGGAGCTAGGATAGTCTGATTGGTATGCGATGTCGTGCCTATGATGTGATGAACTATACCCCTACTCTCTGCCTCAATGCGAACGAGAAGGAAAGTAGAACATTTGTGTGGCGTGCGGTCGCGATGCGGTTGCAAAGCACTTTGTTCATCTTTGTTCCCCGCTACTTTTGGCCCCATTTTGAGTTTGCTATAGATAATATCGCCTACTTCGACGGGGAATAGTAAGGCGATTTGGAATAAGCCCAATCGCGGCCACGTTTTCTACCACTAGTAGCCGTGTTCAAGTAGAAAACAACCAATGCTAGAGAACGCCTTTGGCGGGCTAATTCCACGCCTCCTGACACCACCCCGTCAGTTTGCGACGATATCAGCTGTATGTGAAATTGATTTAATGAGACACACGCCAACCGTTTGCAACCGCAACGCAACCGCACGCTCCCCCACCCCTTATATGGCTTTTCGTATGGTGTTGGCCTGGCATCTATCACCTCACATATATAGCAAAAATCTTGAGCAGATTAATCTCTAAGGAATCAGTTATGAGCTTAAAAAGCCAGGTAGCTAGCAAGAGTCTGTTTAAAATTACCTCTTCGGCAATGGTATCCGAGACCGTCTCTGGTTGCGAATATTTGAGTTCGACAAGCGGGCCGGTACTGACGAACTTTTCGGGACTCGAGAGTCTGCCGGTAGCCTGCACGGCCCACTCCAAAGCATCGATTGCGTATGATGTGGTTGTGAGCATTCTCGAACTTCTAACACTGCAAGAAAATGTCAAGGTAGATTGAAAAAAATCATATAACGAAATCGTAGGCCATGTACAAAACTCGCACCCCTTTAGCCAACTTACACCAGTTTCTCACACATTAAAGATTGCAATGCACCTAACAATGTCACGAATTTCCAAACGTGGTAGGAGACATCCTTCTGGCAACGTGGCGCGCGCGGCATTCGCACCATACCTGATCGTTTAGCGCTACGGTGCTACATACGTTGGTTCAGTCACAAGGAACTGCGAGCGTGATCGAGCTCGCCCGTTGGACCGGTTGGCACTTGGGTTTAATCCAAGTGGACGGCAAAGCGATATTATCCGCAAGATAGTCTTGCGTCTGCTCGAGTTTCTCTGGGTGTGGTCGTTTCAATTGATAAACTGATGCAGATTGAGAATTTGCTGCACACGCCGCCGTGCGCGACGGCGCGGCAAACTACGATGTCTTTGTCCGTTCCACCCTTTCTCCCTCAACACCTCATGACCAAATTTAAATTATTCACTATGATAAGGTAGTGTAATTCCGCAGGCCAGTGTACGCCAAGTCTTTGAGTTGCGGTGGGCGTGGCTACGCACTTCAGTTGGAAGCAGACAGCTGCGCTTCTAGTGGGAAATTTCATTTTGAGACAACTGTAAGCATGACTTTGTTCTACACTAAACAAAATGACAGTTAACTCAGAATAAAATATCCCACGAATAACCCACCCTACGCCATGTTTGAATAAACTGCGCAGCCCACCCACCCCACCTCAGGGAGATGTACGGCTCTGGTTATATCGGAGTGCGGGCAAATACGACAGCGTTGTATTTTACACGTACGAACCTTTCAAGCCACATGTGTCTTACACAACTGGATCGCATTCAGCCACATGGAAGATAGGGGGTTTGCCATGATAATTTATCTCCTGAATTTTCCCGGTTCAGCGCTTACATAGCCACCCAGTTTGCGGTGCAGAAAAACTGCTAGTTTGCATGATTAATCCAAGATTTCTGCAACTCCTCTCGTTCCACGACATTTCTCAGAAAAAAAAGTGGGGAAGAGGAAAGGCACTTTGAAAAGGGTTATACCGAGGGAGAAATACGGGAGGGGGATTTTTTTTTTGCTGAAGGTCTATACAACGCGATGGTGTGCCTTGATTGAGACATCGCGGCATAAGTTTCAGTGTAAGACTAACCTGGAATAAGAGCGAGTGCGTCGTCGACGAGTCGCCACAAGAGCGTTCGATAAGCTGTAGGAGCGTCAACAGAAAGCTGCCTGGTGAATAAAGGCGGCGAAGGACGTTCTCTTTCAAAATAACATAACACAACCAGCAATCTAGAGAATTTTCCCTGCAAACGGAGAGAAAATCGGATTGTGCAGCAGAAAAGGAAGGCCGATGCAAACAATCGAAGAAAAACGAGTGAAAGCGAGAGCGATCTGATGAGGCTATTTTAGCCACAGAACTCACCTAAAAAGCTCTTCGAAAAACTGTTCAACACGAGAATTCTCGGACTTCTCGCTCGAATCCAATTTGTTCACGATAGAATAAACGTCTTTCGTGGCAGGACCTGCAAAACTCGGCTGTACTTTATGAAACATAATTCCTCAAGAGAAAGAACCTATACCTGGCGCAGTGACAGTGCGTATCATACTCCACGAGGAGACCTCATCCTTGAGACCATCGGAGACCAATGCGGCCAAGGCGGTGAACAGATGATTTGGCTCATCGCCTCGGGCAATGGCTGCAACAGCATCGACGACTGCTTCAACCAGACATCGTTTTGTTGAGTAGATTGGCAAGCCGACCACCGACAGCTCTCGGGCTCTGATCTGTTGACTACCAGATGACCTGAAATGTGAATTCACTGCAATCCAGAAGAAAACTAGAAAAGTAACTTCAAGCATAGTAACATAGCAACAACCGTCATGGCGTTTTCGTTTAAATTGGTGTCTATGCA